CATGTTCTCCCCGTGCCGGTGTGGGTTTCCTCAGGGTGCTCCGGTTTCCCCCACAGTCCAAACACATGCGCTATAGGGGAATTGATCAACTAAACTTGCCATAGTGCATGAGTGTGTTTGTGTGTGTGTGTGTGTGTGTGTGTGTGTGTATCTGCTGTGTAAAACCTATGCTGGAATACTTGGCGGTTCATTCCGCTGTGGTGACCCCTTATAATTAAGAGACTAAGCCGTAGGAAAATGAATGAATGAATGAATGAATGAATGTTCACACTAAATTAAACACATAATATATCATTTTCTGAGCTAAGTAAATAAACTAGTGTTGTCAAAAATATAGATATCTCAATAAGTATCAAGAATGGAATATTTAAAACGATACGATACTTTTGGTAAGTATCAATACTGGTTTTGCTCTCTCTCGCCCTCTTTACTTTTATTCCTGTTTAACACCAGCTTTAGTTTTTCTCTGTTCTATTGCACTTTATAAAATGCAAAAAAAAAAAAAAAAAACAACAACAAACAAACAAACAAATAAAATAATATAATTATAATAATAATAATAATAATAATAATAAAATTGCAAAAAAAAGTTTAAAGCCAGGCTAAAGAATGAGTGAGTTCAGCTATATAAATATTGGAGTAAAATGAACCAGATATCATAGTTTTCTTTTAATTCATTATTAAGTTTAGGGTCAGTTTTGTTAATTGTTTGTTTGTTTGTTTGTGTAATTGTTTATTTGTTGTGAGCTTCAGTTTTTCTTTGAAATAAAACTATTGCACTTTATGAATTGCAAAACAACAACAACAACAACAACAACAACAACAACAACAACAACAACAACAACAACAACAACAACAACGACAACAACAACAACAACAACAACAACAGTAATAATAATGATAATAATACATGAAATTGCAGAAATTTGAAAGCCAGGCTAAAGAATAGTTCTATATAAATATTTAAAGTAAAATAAACAAATATCACAGTTTTCTTTTAATTCATTAATTTTAGGATCAGTTTTGGTAGTTATTTATTTGTTTGTTTGTTCTTTCGTTTTTTTTTAAATGAAACTATTGACAACTTTATTTTATTGCACTTTATAAATGGGGGAAAAATACAAATAAACAAACAAAATATATTTGAAAACCGGGATAAACTGGTGCGATAAACGAGTTAAAAATCTTAAAGCTGCTGTATGCAAGTTTCTGACTCTTCTAAAGCATAAAACAGCATCATATGTGTGCAGATATTTCAGAAACATGCTCAGTGAACATTCTGGATTATCTGAAAAACAATGCTGAAGTCAGATAAATGCGTTTTAAATGCGTTTTCCATGCCGTAATGACTGTCTTTGTTTTAGTTATTTTAACCCGCTGACTGCCAGTTTAGCTAATTATGTTTTAGCACTTCAGGTTGCCTTGTTGGAATACAGCATATTTACAGGGGCGTAGATTTAGCGTGGACGGACCAATATCCACCAACTATTGAATTTTCCCCACCAATAATTTAATTCACTTAAAAAATGTTGCTGTCAGTATTAACCAAGACATGCAGAAAGGGTTAAATCACGTTTTCATCTCACCCCCAAAACGCATATGAACACTGTGATTGGCTGAGCCTTTTCCTGCTGTCATGTGAGAGGTTGTAGCTGCGTTCAGATACAAGTGATGGGGGGGATGGATTCACCTGTCCGGGCCGTCCCCACCAGTGTCTACAGCAGGGGTGTGAAACTCAATTCCTGGAGGGCCGAAGCCCTGCACAGTTTAGTTCCAACCCTGCTCCAACACACTTACCTGTAGGTTTCAAACAAGCCTGAAGGACTCAATTAGTTTGATCAGGTGTGTTTAACTAGGGTTGGAACTAAACTGTGCAGAGCTGCGGCCCTTTTGGAACTGAGTTTGACACCTGTGGTCTAGAGCAAACCATATGCTCTTGCGTATTTCATTCTATCAGTCATGAAGACTCTGAAAGTATGTGTCTGTGACTGAAATGCGACCTCTGGTGGACTGTAGCAGACTCCGAAAGAGACTCAGATTGAGAGTTTTTCATGAGGTTATTAATTAGCAAATGATATAAATATTACAAACATGAACATTAGGTGAGCAGGTCACATTGTAACCCCGTGTCCTAGCAATATGCTACATGACGAGATATGCTGTGATGAGCGATTTGGCTGTTGCACCAGACGAAACATGACAGAAATGTAAATACAGCCATTCAGAAGCACAGAATAGTGCACTCACTGCACTCCAGCACAATGCTAAGGTTTATAATCTGATTAATACATATCAATCTGGCAACCTGTGCCTGCGTTTGTTTTAATCCAGGAGTGCAATGCCTAGTTTAACCACTGGGTGTCAAACTTACACACTGCACCTTTAAATAAATAAAATCAAGAATCAATACTCATTTAAATGAACAAGTTGAAGGTCTGTAAAATTGAACTGGTGCGTGTGTGCGTGTGTGCGTATGTGTGGGTGTGCATATGTATGTTTGTGTGTGCACATTTTGAGTATGTGTGTGTGCATGGGTGTGCGAGTGTTTACGTGCATGTGTTCATGCATGTATATGTGTGTGTGTGAGGTGGTGAAACCGGGCCGCTGTAAGGGAACCTGTGTCAGTGTGTGTGTGTGTGTGCAGGACGTCCCGCCTCTGAATGTTTAATGTGAGCTGAACACGACATGCTCTCGTGGCTCTTTTGTGTGTCTGTCAGTCCAGTGGCGATGGAGTGGCCGGTGCGTACAACAACTCTTTCTGCACTTCAGCTGTGTGTGTGTGTGTGTGTGTGTGTGTGTGTGTGTGTGTGTGAGAGTTCATGCATGTCTGTCTGTGTGTGAGTGTGTTAGTGTGTGTGTGTGTGTGTGTGTGTGTGTGTGTGTGTGTGTGTGTGTGTGTGTGTGTGTGTGTGTGTGTGCGCAAGGGTTTTTGTGCATGTGTGTGGATGTGAGTTTGATGATCTAAAGATGATCTTTCTCGTCACCCTGATCATGCTTTACTGTTTGAGTGTTGTTTTACAGCATAAATTGTAGCATAAAATCTGTGTGTGTGTGTGTGTGTGTGTGTGTGTGTGTGTGTGTGTGTGTGTGTGTGTGTGTATTGTATTCCTTATGTTGTGAGCAATGTCCTCGAAAGGAAAGCAATAGCAGTAAATATTGACCTTGTGGGAATTTTTCCTTTTTTCCTTCTTTAGATGATACAAACATGACATTCACATTAATACATTTGAATTCAAATAGGTTATTGCAAATAAATCTATTAAATTTATTTTTTTTGTACATTTTCTCTTGATTTTTCCTGTTTATTAATTAAAAATACATATTTTTTTCTCCAACATTGGATTTTTTGTGTAGTCATTTTGGCACTGCGAGTCGTTTGTTTGTTACAACAGTTGATCAGTTTTGTCTTTGGTTCTGACTAATCTAATGTATAGTTGAAGTCAGAATTATTAGCTGCCCTGTTTAGTTTTTTTTCCCAATTTCTATTTAACGGAGAGCAGATTTTTCAGCACATTTCTAATCCACTTTCTTTTTTTTTACTTACGGCATGAAACGTCAATCAGACACGGCTGCTCCTGTCAAACCTCCACTAGTTTTTCTTCCATTTCTTGGGTCCAAATAAACTGAAAATGAGCACTTTTATCTTCTCCCTCAACCTCCCGTTGGCCTGCAGACACCCACACTAGTGAAAGCTGCTCTCTCATTGGCTGAAGATGATCGTTGATGTTATTTTCAGTCAAAACTCATTTCACATGGCATGATTTGAATCGTCGACAGCTCCAGATATTCAGCACGCCAAATATCTCACAGGCATCAGCGACTCATCAGCGATTCTCTCCGATTGCGTCATTGATAGTTCATACTGTGTGATTGTCACATGAGCACAGATTTACCTTTGATTTCAGGCATTTGTCAGCGATTTCTCAAAACCTGTCGGCGAGTCAACATCAGGGCTAAAACCACGCAGTCTGAACTCAACATAACAGTGGTTTGCTCTGAAGACAATCCAAAACAAATATAGCTTAAGGGGGCTAATAATATTGACCCTAAAATGGGTTTAAAACAATTAAAAACTGCTTTTATTCTAGCTGAAATAAAACAAATAAGACTTTCTCCAGAAGAAAACATATTAGAGGAAATACTGTGACAAATTTCTGAATCTGTTCAACATCATTTGGGAAATATTTAAAAAAGAAAAAAAAAAGGCTAATATTTTGACTTTAACTGTATATACACAAATTTACATAAATAAACAAATAAATAAACAGACTTAATGATGGGCTAAATAATCTGCGCATTCTGCTTGTGGGTCTAGTTGTAATCTTTTATAGGGTGTCTGCAGAAGGACTTTTAATTTTCAGTAACCTGGTTCAAGCGCTTTCAGAGATCTGTATGTCTTTACATAATCACTGTGTTTGTTTTCTTTAAAAATCAATGATCTTCACTGCGTGATTGTTATACGATATAAAGACAGTCTCAGAATGTACATGAAGCACTGCATTAAATTGCATTGCCCCATGCCATGTCTTCAAAACATGAACATTTATTTTACCACCATTTTTTATTGAAAAACAAATTCATCTGTCCCCTCAACGTCATTGATTTATGTGTTCACCATTGGTGCGTTTGTTTGAATTGTGCGGTCCAATCAGAGACCGTCACAATTTTCTGGTGCTGCTATCAATGGTGCTTGCATTTAAACGGCTTTTCATCTTGTTTTACACTTGAAGGACTAAATGAATGCTGAAGGCTATTAAACTGATTATATTTTAATTACATTACAACATTGATGCTGTAAAAGGAAGCTCATGAAGTTGAAAACAGTCATATTTACCCCTCACCAGAAGTTTATTAGTGGGGAAAACCTCTAGCTGTACATATACCCTATTATTATTATTATTATTATTATTATGATTATTATTATTATTATTATTATGATTATTATTATTATTATTATTGCAGTCCTGACGTATTGTGTGTGTGTGTATGTGTTTGTGCAGATATGTGTCACCAAGATGTCCACTCGCAGCTGCCAGGGATCAGACTCGGTCATCAAGCCCCTGGACACCATCCCTGAAGACAAGAAGGTGCGCGTGCAGCGAACGCAGAGCGGCTTCGAGGCCTTCGACAAACCTGCCAGTCAAGTGAAGCGCGTTCACTCCGAGAATAATGCCTGCATCAACGCCAAGAGCTCCTCGTCTGGCAAAGAGTCTCCCAAACTGCGCAGACACTCCAGCCCCAGCTCTGTGAGTCTCTCAACAACATTATACTACAGGCTAAAGAATTCCGCATTCTGATTGGCTGATGAGTGTTCTCAGGTGTTTGGTTATTATCAGATAAAGGCACAGCTAAAGTAGTTCCGGCAGGTTTTGAGTGCATTACAGCTCTATATCATTCCGCTGAATGATTAGAGTTATTTCACAGATACAACAGTCAGAAATCACATGGGAACACAACAGAAGGAGGATGAGGAGATGTGGAGGACACTAGACCTGTATGTTGAGTTATGATAAAATAATGCACACCTGAGGTGAAACTGTCACTCCTCTTCACCACATCTTCACCTCAGGCATTTTATATTTTTTAATAATTAATGGTACTGTTGTTAGTTCTTATGCTACGGGGCTTTGTTGAATGTTTGATTCTGATTGGCTGATGAGCATTCTGAGGTGTGCTGTTATTATCAGATAAACGAACAGCTAAAATAGTCATCAAACACAACACTTTAACAGTGTCTTTAGGTGTGGAAATCATAGTATAAGTGGAATAACTGATGATAAACGCTGAATTATTTGTACAGGGCTTGAAATTAACTTTTCTACTTGGTAGCACTGGTGCTTCAAATATTTAATGCAACTTCAAATATTTAGGAGCACCAAAAATAATTAAGGATCACCAGAAAGATTGCAGGAGCACCATTGCAAATTGTATTTTAAGGGATTTATTTTATTTGAAAACAACATCAATTAGGACTAACAAAAACCAGAAACAACTATCTTACTAATGCTGAGATGACTTATTGATAGATGTGTGCAATAATTCCAAAATGCATGTCTAATAATTATAGAATATTAATGATGATGAAAATGACAATAATACTAACAATGAATACCATTTCTCATTATGATGCTGCCTTGAATGCGCTTGAATGTAAGTTATCTGCTATAAAAAGTGTGTTACTTTATGAAAAATACATGTATGGTATGCATCAAACACAAATGAAGCATTGCAATAAGAAATATTTATTTTGCACTATTGTTTTTATATGCATGTCAATCTAATAAACAATATTTCTGCTACAAAACAAACGAAAGACTATAATAAATCATTCAATTTAAGGCTGAGAGCTGCAAAACAGTCATCAGTAACTAAAACTAGTAACTAGCAAAATAATATACATCTCAAGAAAGAACGGACAAAAGAAAGTAAGAAAAGTCTCACTTCTGCAACTCTTTAAAGGTTTTGTTTTGGGTTTGTGTCATTTTAAATGCTCGTTCTCGTTATGAGCTGATCTTCGTTTGTCTGTGTTTGTGGAAAGCAGGCGAGTCAGCCGACCCAATATATGAGCAGGCAGAGCAGGATTCTCGCGTTGATCCACCGGCGCAATATCGCTCTTTATTATGAGCCGCAGTTTCAGTGTAAACTCAATAAAGGCGAGCTTCTTTGGCAATGATGTGTGCAGTGTTAGATTTTACATTTATAGCGGACATTTGCACTACATAACACGCAGTGAATGCAATGCATCGAGATTCAGGCACCTTCTCCATTAACACTCGATTGATCTCGGCTGGCAGATCAATATTCACCACATGTCATGATCGCTCTCGTCTGCGCTATTATTTTTATTATAACTTTAGGTGGGGTTTGCAAACCTCTGTACTTTTCACTCTTCAGCCTTTTGCATTTCCTACGGTCACAAAAGCTCCCGGTCATCTGACAGCAGAAAGCCTTCAGTGATTGACAGCTAATATGAACCAATATAGTGGCAGGGAAGATCGATTCAGCACGTTTTTAGAAAAAAATCAAAACAGGTCGCACTACAACCATTATATGTAGTCGCACTAATGCTCCCAATATATATATTGAGGTCGCATAGATTAAATTTCGGGCGCATAGGCGACCAAAATGGTTGCAATTTCGATCCCTGTAGTAAATAATGTATTGTGTCTGTATCACAACCTCAGGCGTGCATTATTTTCGAATAATTGAATGGCCTGTCGTCAATTATTCCATATGTAAATGAGGGGGCTGTGTCAAACGCTTGATTCTGATTGGCTGATAAGCATTCTGAGGTATACTGTTATTTTCAGATAAACTAACAGCTTAAATAGTCTTTAAACACAAAACCTTAACAGTGTCTTTAGGTGTGGAAATCATAGTATTGTGTCTGTATCACAACCTCAGGTGTGCATTATATTCTAATAATTGAATGAATAATCCGGGGTCGCCACAGCGGAATGAACCGTCAACTTAGCAGCGGATATCCTTCCAGCCGCAACACATCTCTGGGAAACATCCACACTTATTCACTCTCATACACTACGGACAATTTAGCCTACCCAATTCACCTCTACCGCATGTGTTTAGACTGTGGGGGAAACCGGAGCACCCGGAGGAAACCCACGCGAACGCAGGGAGAACATGCAAACTCCACTCAGAAACGCCAACTGAGCCAGCCGAGGCTCGAACTAGCGACCTTCCTGCTGTGAGGGGACAGCCCTACCTACTGCGCCACCAAGTCGCCCAATTGAATGACCTGTCGTCAATTATTCCATATGTAAATCAGGGGGCTGTGTTAAATGCTTGATTCTGATTGGCTGATGAGCATTCTGAGGTGTGGCATTATTTCAAATACAACATAAACGGACAGGCAAACAAATCAGATATAGGCAACAAATCGGAATTGGGCATCAAGACCTGACAGTGTAAACGGGGCTGAAGTGTGTGTGTGTGTGTGTGTGTGGTCACGTGATGTGTGTTTTCAGCAGTATAGTGCGGATGGAGATCTGTTCAGAAATGCTAAGTGAAACGGCGGTGTAGATATTGATCGTTTTAATTGAAATATGCAATTTTAAAACTAATAAGTATTGGTGTTAACGGGGTCTGAGTGTGTGTTTTTCATGAGCGGGTTGCTGCTGTCACGGGGGCGGGGCTGAGGATCGCGATGCTGGCCGGCTCAGCATCGTGATGTCTATCAGTCATCGGCGATGGACAATGGCATCGTCTGTCAACATCGTCTGAGTTAATAATCGATTTAAAATACTAAATAATTATGCTTATTATATTTATTACATTATGATTTTTTAAATGAATTAGGGATGTTTTAATTTTTCAATCAAATTTCTTCAATTCTATTTCTGCTGATTTTTATTTCGAAATATTGTTTTATTTTACACATTTTTAACTTTTCCTTGCTGACCCGCGGTGTTAAACTCAGACACACAACGTTTTGTGTAACTACGGTCTTATTGTAATTGAATGTATAAAGCGGAGCTGTTCTGAACGTGTGTGAGCCGAGGTGTGTTTGAGCTGTGAGGAGGAGCTGAAGGTAAAGCACGTTTGCCTGCTGATTCACACCAATGAAAAATGCATGAGTGTAAGTTCAGAGAGAAGCAGAGAGAGAGTGTGTGTGACCTCCTTCCCTGAACACCTGATGACACACACACACACACACACACACACACACACACACACACACAACTTCGAATGTAGAAAATACACTGATCACAGACCTGTTCACCGCAGGGGCCCTCCTTCAGTGTGTGTGTGTATGAAAATGTGTGTGAGAGAGAGAGATTGTGTGTGTGTCTGAAAGAGTGTGTAAGAGAGAGAGAGAGTGCATGCATGTGTGTGTGAGTTTATTTGTGTGTGTGTGTAACTGTGTGCATTAGTGCTTGTCTGTGAGCTTGATGATGCGTGTGTGTATCTGTGTGTGCTTGTGTTTGTGTGTATGTGTCTGAAAGTGTATGTGTGTGAGAGAGCGAGTGTGTGTCTAAAAGTTTGTCTGAGAGAGTGTGCGTGTGGGTTTATTTTTGCGTGTGTGTGTGTGAAAGTGAGAGTGTGAGTGTCTGGAAGTGTGTGTGTGTGTGTATGCGAGTTTATTTTTATGTGTGTGGGCGTGTATCTGTGTGCTTGAGAATGGGTGTGTATCTGTGCATGTGTGTGTGTACATTTCTGCATGTGTGTGTGTGAATTTGTGTGTGTGTGTGTATGCATGGGTGTGTGCGTGTCTTTGCGTATGTGTGTGTTTTATTTTGCCTGTGTGAAGGTGTGTGCAGCTCCACGTTTGTGTGTCTGTGCATGTGTGTGAGAGTGTGTGTGTATGTGTCTGTTTGCGTTTGTGTTTATATGAGTGTATATGTGAGGGTGTTTTATTTTGTGTGTGTGTGTGTTTGTGATCTTGTGAATGTGTGTGTGTGACTATTTTTATGTGTTTGTGTGAGTGTGTCTGTGTATATTTGTTTGCGTCTGTGTGAGGATGTGTGTGTGTCTGTGTGATGGTGTGTGTGAGTGCGACTGTGCATGTGAGTTTTTGTGTGTGTGTGTGTGTGTGTGTGTGTGTGTGTGGTTCCCAGTATGTAAGTGTGTGTGTGTGTGTGTCTGTGATTGAGTGAGTGAGTGAGTGAGTGTCTGTATGTGTGTACAATCAAGTGTGAGTGTGTGTGTGTTCTCTGCAGGCTCCTAGCTCCAGCATAGAGTGTGTGTTCAGGTAATGTCTGTGTGTGTCTCTTAGAAACGGCTGGTGTCTGGTGTTGTTAAAGCTGCAGGGTTTGCGGTTACACACTTCTCTTATCCGGCATGAGTCCGCTAATCTTTCACAGTAATCGCAGAAAGAGACTCGCTGTCAGGATGCAGAAACGCTGCTCTTCTAAAACACACACACACACACACACACACACACACCTTTGAGTTGCATTCATTTGAATATAACAGTGTTCATTCGGCAGCTGGAAATCCTGGAAAGTGTTCTTAAGGTCTTATATTTTGGAGAAAGTGCTTGAAAAGGTCTTTATTTTCCTTTTATCTTACTAAATCGGTAGTAATAGTCAACTAATCAAAGCAGCACGGTGACTCAGTGGCTAGCACTGGGGCCTCACAGCAAGAAGGTCACTGGTTTGAGTCCCGGCTGGGTCAGTTGATGTTACTGTGTGGAGTTTCAGAAATAACAGCACGCATCCACAACAACCACTGCTCACAGACACATTGCAGCCTGCAGCCTGCACACTGAGCTCAACACTCAGCACTCAACAATAATCTTCAAGATTCTCAGCAGCCAGAATCTCCAAAGCCACAGCTTCTGTCACCAGACACGCTCTCATTTACTCCTTCCACACATACAGACCTTTCCGGATAATTACCGGCAATTTCCTGAAAAGTCCGGAACAGGCCCAGTAAATACCAGTACATTCGTTCCATCATTTTCCGGAAAGAGTAGTTGTAACATCACTGCTAATTTTCCGGAATGCTGAAGAAAGATTGCTGGAAAGAGCGCGTTCACGTCTAGAACACGCTGACGTGAGACGTCTACTCGAGCCAATCAGAACAGTCAGACGCACGGTTTATAAAAATAAAAGCCTTTGAATATTTTTCCAGACACACTTACCAGCTAGATGTTAGTCTGATCACGTTTTTATGTTCCTTCTTAATGCCAACTGTGTAAATAATTATCAATAAGATGAATATGATAAGGGCGACGCAGTGTCGCAGTGGGTAGCACGTTCGCCTCACAGCAAGAACGTCGCTGGGTCGCTGGTTCAAACCTCGGTTCAGTTGGCGTTTCTGTGTGGAGTTTGCATGTTCTCCCTGTGTTCGCGTGGGTTTCCTCCGGGTGCTCCGGTTTCCCCCACAGTCCAAACACATGTGGTACAGGTGAATTGGGTAGGCTAAATTGTCCGTAGTGTAAGAGTGTGTGTGTGTGTGTGAATGAGTGTATGTAACAGTGTCTTTATCAAATGTTTACAGAACAAGCAGGAACCCAGTGTATCCGCTGTGTAAAACATATGCTGGAATAGTTGGTGGTTCATTCCGCTGTGGTGTGACCCCTGATAAATAGGCTGTAGGAATATAAATGAATTAGTAAACAAATAAAATCATTTTTATTTATTTAGGTTTTGCTTAATTCTGCATGAAATGAAGACTCTGGAGTCTGGAGCGCTTGTGCCTGTGGCATAATCTAATTTTGAGCTTTTAACTTTACTCTTGTGCGCTGTTGGGTCGTTTTCATCCACTCTGGGCTGATTTTGAGACTTAATTTGGCCTCAATTGTCTCTGTGTTTTAGCAAATGAAATAATTTTTGCTGACAAACCTTATTCTGACACATATTTAATGAAAGAAAATATAAAAAAACTCAACAATACACTGTGGACAAATTTACTACCCTTTCATTATGTTGGTGCTGTTTTTGCCCCATTGACTTCCATTATAATCACATTTATTGATTGCAAAGCCATGACAGCATATAGTCATGGGCTGCGTCTGAAACCCCCTACTACTCAGTAGGTACTGCATTTGAATGTAAATGTACTACTCGGCTGTTAGAAAAGTGCGTTCTATACAGTATGATTGTGAAAAGTATGAATTAAATTCGGACGTACTACATCTGCCATTTTTTCATGGTCACGTGACCTACCTGCGTCAGTTGCGTCGCCTCACTTCCATTCATGAATTCTCTTGCGGGGCATTATGGGATAGCGCAGCGTGCATGGGATGCGCACTTCAGAATCTCGCCGGAAGTAGTAAGTCATCCGGGTACACTGAAAAAAAAATATTCAAAGATGATTCCTTGGATTTACTCATTTTTTCACATTAAGTGGTAGTAAACAATTTATTTGTGTTGAATTTAAACAAACAAATTAAGTTGAACATTAATAAACTTAATTTGTTTGTTTAAATTCAACACAAATAAATTGTTTGCAACAGCTCTGCATGCAACACTTTTTTCAGTGTTCTTGCCTACTGATTTTCGGATTTCGGACATACTACTCGGCTCGCATACTGATTTTAGCGTACTATATAGTATGGAAGTATGCGGTTTCGGACGCAGCCATGCATTCTTGAATGTTGCTGGTTTTCCCTGTTGGGAAGAGGTCAAATGTGTCATTTTGAATATGATAATGTTTGATCTCCTTTTGACACTCATTCTTCTTTAACACTGGGAAAGCGCTACAGCTTTTGCTCATTCGCTTGTTTCCCCAAATAAGCTCTAGATGTGAGATTATGTGTCAGAAAAAGGCAGAAACTGAAGCAGATCCTCTGAGATCAAGCGTTTGCAGAATAGCTGATGATCTGACCTTCTGCTCTCGCTCACTGAGCTCTGGATGAAGCCTGACAATTATTACAATGCATGTTGTAGTGGAAAGGACTTTGATTTCAACTTCTGACTACATTTTTTATTTAAAGCGGAGCTATTATGTAAAAATCACTTTTATAAGGGGTTTAATCACCTTGTGTGTCAGGAGTGTGTGAATATCTCCAGCCTCTGATGGTCAACATGTATTAATTGTGTTTTTTCTAATCAGACTTGATCAAGGAAGGACTTTGATTGACATTCTCTCTTTGAACGTGCCATCAAAGGGGGAAAGCCCCACCCACTTGTGACCTTCTCTCCATCTCATTAGCATAAGCAGCACCCCTGACCGAGAAGCAGCCGTCTGTCAGTTAGCCAGTAGAGTGTTTGAGCTGCTGAAGATAATGTCAGCATAAACTAAGAGGATTATAGATGTTTTTTTAAATAAATATTTTATCTTATATTTTTGTATTTAATATTTAATATTATTTTTATATTGAATTTTATCTTTTATATTTTATTTTATAATTTTTTTATATTATATAAAAATTTTTCCTTAATTTTATTACATTTAGATTTTTTACTTTTTATTTTATATAATTTTTCTATTTCATTTCATTTCATTTTAATTAATTAAATAATTTAATTTAATTTTACTATATTTCATTTTAATTATTATTTTTTAATTTAATTTAATTTTATATATTTTTTGTATTTTATTTTATTTAATTTATTTTGTTTTATTTTATAATTTTCTTTCTATTGTATTTTATTTAATTCTTTATTTTATTTTACTATATTTTAGTTTATATTTATTTTTTATTACATTTTTGTTTTATTTAAAATAAATTAATTTAATTTTATTTTATTTTTCATTCGCCAGACCATTTTATCCACAGTGATCAGGGGTCACCAAAGCTGGTCCTGGAGGTCCAGTGTCCTGCAGATTATAGCTCCAACCCTAATCAAACCCAAATCCGTCTTTCGGATGAGACGTTAAACCGAGGTCCTGACTCTCTGTGGTCATTAAAAATCCCATGGCACTTCTCGTGAAAGAGCAGGGGTGTAACCCCGGTGTCCTGGCAAAAGTCCCTCTATCGGCCCTTACGATCATGGCCTCCCAATCATCCCCATCCACCAAATTGGCTCTATCAATGTTTCTCCACTTCACCAATAGCTGGTGTGTGGTGAAGCACTGGCACCATTGTCCTGTGGCTGCTGTCACATCATCCAAGTGGATGCTGCACACTGGTGGTGGTGTGGAGAGACCCCCCCTCATGATTGTGAAGCGCTTTGGGTGTATGGCCATACACAATAAATGCGCTATATAAATACACATTACATTACAAAAACACCTGAACAAGCTAATCAAGGTCTTAAAGGTATACTTGAAACACCCACGCAGGTGTGTTGAGACAAGTTAGAGCTAAACCTTGCAGGGACACGGGCCCTCCATGACCGAGATTGGTGTCCCCTGCTCTAGATAACTACTAGAGTCTAGACCAGGAGTGCCCGAACTCAGTCCTGGAGGGCCGATATCCTGCATAGTTTAGCTCCAACTTCCTTCAACACACCTCCCTGGAACTTTTTGTATACCTAGAAAGAGCTCAATTGGCTGCTTCAGGTGTGTTTAATTGGGGCTGGAACTAAAATATACAGGACACCGGCCCTCCAGGACCAAGTTTGGAGACCTCTGGTCTAGACTGTTGTTTCTGTTCTGGGATCCTTCAGAGCAGGGGTGCCCAAACTCGGTCCTGGAGGGCCGGTGTCCTGCAAACTTTTTTAGTCCCAACCCCAATCAGACACACCTGGGGTAACTAATCATTTATGCTTTCTAGAAACATCCGTGCAGGTGTGTTGAGGTAAGTTTGGGTTGAAATCTGCCGGACACTGGCCCTCCAGAACCGAGTTTGGACTTCCCTGCTTTAGAGTGTTTAAAGCTGCACTTAATCTGAAGTACTGTAGAAATTCTACATATTTTCATCATGTATTTTCCAATTCAGAAGAAATAAACACGTCAGGTGGCAATGAAGGAGAGTAAATAAGCAGGAAAGTTAAATTCTGTAAGTGGACTGATCATTTAATCTTTGTTTTTCAGCCCACAAGCCCAAAGTTTGGCAAAGCGGATTCATACGAGAAGCTGGAGAAACTGGGAGAAGGATCCTACGCCACTGTTTACAAAGGGAAGAGCAAGTGAGTGTGTTTTATTTATTGCACATGCCTACTGACTTTATCATGGCACAACAGTACAGAAATGTTGATCACTCTTTACAATACGGTTTCATTAATGTTCTTTACAATTTTTTTATGATATAAAATTCTTTAGTTCTATCTAATCTATTTATTTGTTTGCTGAAAATATTTTATTATTTTATTTATTTTTTGTTTTGTTTTATTTGTAGTTTTTATTTTGTATTTTTATTTTATTGCTTTTTTTGCATTTTATTGCTTTGTTTTCTTGATTTGTTTTGTTGCATTTTATTGCATATTATTTTATTTTGTTTAGTTTTGCTTTGCTTATCGTTATTTATTTTTATTTATTCTATTGCTTTTATTGCATTTTATGGCTTTGTTTTTTGTTTTGTTGCATTTTATTGTCTTTTATTTTGTCTTTTGTTTTATTTATTTTTATTTAATTTTTTTATTGCTTTTTATTGCATTGCATTTTGTTTCATTTTGTTTTATTTTTTTATTTAATTTTATTGCTTTTTAAATTTATTTATTTATTTTTTTATTAATTTTTATTTCATTTAATTTGATTGCTTTTTATTGCATTTTATTTAATTATTTTTTACTTTATTCAATCAATTTTGTGCATTTATCAGACATTTTGTTAAGTAATATAAAATGTTAAGATAAAATTATTAACAGAAAGCCCCAGCTTCTCAACTGGAGCATGAAATGATGTGTTCCCTTCATAAATGAAAGCGTGTACAATCAAATCTGTGTTGGTGTGAAATGAATTGAGCGTCAATGTGTGTGTTTGACAGTAATGATGCTGTGTGTGTGTGTGTGTGAGTTGATTTATTAAAGCTCTTGACCTCTGCGTTTAGATTCACTCCACTGCCTTTAAATTGCATCTCATTGACTTCCAGTCTGCAGTAAATCACACGTGACTCTGTTTATTGTCTTTAACATCTTCCTGCACTCAAATGATCTCTGCATTTTATTACTAAATGCATGAATCCACCTCCGAAAAAACTCATCAGTTCCTTTGATTAAACACCATTTAAAAACAGAGACTTGTAACTTGCACTGGATAAAATCTCATCCCATATCCTAAATGCTCCACTTTATTCCCTTATTCAGTTTTCTGTTTTAATAAAGTATATCTAGATTTGATTATACTGTTTTAATTAAACTTTAATAAAAACAATAATGATGAAATGTCTGATCGTTTTAGTTATTAAAGCTATTTCATAAAACTCATTAACCAGACCCTATGAATTATTTTATTTCTCCAAATTCCATTTTTCTATATTTTGTTTTATTTTGTTAAACTGTATTTGTTCGTCTATTTTGTATCCCTAAAATATTTAATTATATTTTGATTTTTTTTATGATTATATTCTATTATGACTGTACTTTATAGTGATTATTTAAGTTGACTTTTTATTTCATTTTATTTTATTATGACTTTAATTTATTTTCCTTTATTTAATACAATTTTATTTTTATTTTATAACATTTTTTCCTGTAATTTTATTTTATTTATTATATTTTAATTATATGTTCTAGATATACTAGATTAAATATTTCTGAGGGGTGTGTTTAAGCCAGTTGGAGCTAAACTCTGCAGGACACCGGCCCTTCTGGACTGAGATTGGACACCACAGAACTAAACTATTTATTTGTTTTTCTGTTTTGTATCCCTAAAAATATTTTATATTATTGTGATTTATTGTATTCTATTTTATTTTATTTTGATGTGATTTTTGTATTTTTGTTGTGATTTTATTTTATTGAGACTGTAATTTAGTGTGATTTATTTAATTTAATATTTAATTTTACTTAAATATTAATTTTAATTTTATTCTATTGAATTTTATCATGGCTTTAATATATTTAACTTTATTTAATAATTATTTTTTCTGTTTCTGATTGAATTTTTTGTGATTGATTGTGTTTTATTGTGATTAAATTTTTGTAATTGTGTTTTATTTTAATTTACTGTGTTTATCGTGATTTATTGTATTTTATTGTAATTTTTTATTTTATTTTGTTATTTAATTTTTTGTGATTGTTTTTTTGATTTACTATTTTATTATGATTTATATTGTAATTTTTTATATTAGTATGATTTTATTTTATTGTCATTAATTTTATTTTTTACTAGATTGAATTTTTTGTGATTGTTTATTTTGATTTACTCTATTTTATTGTGATTTTATTTTGATTTGTTTTATTTTATTGTGACTGTATTTATTTAGATTTATTGTGATTTATTATAATTTATAATAATTTATTGTATTATATTGTTATGATTTTGTGATTTGAATTTATGTTGATTTACTGTATTTTATTGTGATTTGTTTTATTTCATTGTGATTTATTTATTTTTTGTGATTTTACTTCATTTTATTTTCACACAATTTTATGCGCTTGACTCACTTTTATCCAGACATTTTCAAGTGACTTACAGAAAATGTCAACGCATGCATTATTATCAGTTCATGTGTTTCCTGGGAATTAAGCCTTTGCAGTCAGTCTGTTCTCCTATCGCCAGGGGTCCAATAGACTTTTACTGTGGTATTTCCTAAGGATCACTGCTGTACCAGAGATCAGTTTAAGCTAAAACGTGTGTTTCTCTGTGTCTTCAGGGTCAACGGGAAACTGGTTGCTCTGAAAGTGATTCGTCTGCAGGAGGAAGAAGGAACACCGTTTACAGCCATCAGAGAAGGTAAAGCTAAATGCAAAATGTTTTGTTTCTGGTTAATAATCAGCATAATTTACAGTTACAACCCTCCTGTAAATTTGTTTCTTTCTCAATTATTTCCCAAATGATGTCGATTCAGGAATTTTTCACAGTATTTCCTATAATATTTGTTCTTCTGGAGAAAGTCTTATTTGTTTCATTTCGGCTAAAACAAAAGCAGTTTTTAATTGTTTTAAACCCATTATTATTATTCGCCCCCTTAAACAATATTATTCAGGTGGGCTAATAAATCAGACTTTGACTGTACATGTATATCGGCCTCTGAAATTGCTAACGGTGAAAGTGATGCGTGTGTGTGTGTGTGTGTGTGTGTGTGTGTGTGTGCAGCGTCTCTGCTGAAAGGACTGAAGCATGCCAACATTGTGCTGCTACACGACATCATTCACACGAAAGAAACCCTCACGCTGGTGTTCGAGTATGTGGTGAGTATCGGAATAATCATTTATAGATTATAGTTTACGATAACTTTACCTCTTTATTTAAACTTTTTAAAAAATTTTATAACTTTACTCTTTATTTTTTTTTATAATCAGACTTGATAAACAGTCAGTAGAAACACTTTGATTGACATTCTCCCTTTGTACGTGTCATCAGAGGGGGAAAGCCCCGCCCACTAGTGCCCATCTCTCCCCCATTAGCATAAACAGCAGTCCTGAGTGAGAAGCAGCCGTCTGTCCATTAGCCATTAGAGTGTTTGAGCTGCTGAAGATAATGTCAGCATAGACTAAGAGGATTATAGATATGGGGTTTTATTTTATTTTCATGAAATTTTATAATTTTATAATTTTTTTTACCTTTTATTGCATTGCTTTTAATTATATTTATTGATTGCATTTTATTTAACTGTATTATATTTTATTGCATTTTTTATTTTATTTTTTTGCACTTTATTGTATTGCATTTGATTAAATTGAATTTTATTGCATTTCATTTTATTCCATTCTATTTTAATTTATTGCATTTTAATGCATTTTTTGTATTTTATTTTATCTATTTTATTGCATTTGGTTTGAAAAATTTATTGCATTTTATTTTGTTTTTTTATTTTGTACTTTTAATAGTTAATTGTATTTATTTTTTGCACAATATATAGAATTCAATACTGAACACTATATGGTTTCAGCATCGATATCACAATTTGCATATCCGCAATAATCACATCGCAACATATGTAATCACTGCATTTAAATGGAATTTATATGATTTATGCAAAAAAACATTTCTTACTTCAAATTTTTGTCTTGTTTCTTGCCTAAATATCTACATTTCAAAGCAAAAACAAGATTATTTCACTTCCCCCACTGGCAGAATATATGGTTTCAGCATCGATATCACAATGTGCGCATCTGCAATAATCACATCGCAACATATGCAATGAGTCTGAATTCTAGTCGAGCAGGAGCTACATAATTGTATTTAATCGCTGTATTTATATGGAATTTATATTATTAATGCAAATAAACATTTCTTACTTAGAATTCTTGTCTTGCTTCTAGCCCAAATATCTACATTTCAAAGCAAAAACAAGATTATTTGACTTTCCCCACTGGCAAATTATTTCTGTAAAACAAGCAAAATCTCTTATTTTTCTGACAGTGAAAACTAAACAATACTTTTTACTTGTGATTTAATTCAATAGCATTTTATTGCATTTATTAAATATACTTTTATTGCGTTTTTATTTTATTTTATTTTATTTAAATTTTATTGTATTTTATTTTTTTGCATTTTTTGTGTTATTTATTTTTTAGTTTTTCATTTTATTTCATCCCATTTGGTTTAATTTTAGAGCATTTTTATTCCATTTTATTGGATTTTATTTTATGCTTCTGTGTTTACTTAACGCTCACTTTTAATACTTAACTGTAGTTAGTTTTTTTGCACAATATATAGAGTTTGTGTCTTGTTTCTAGCCCAAATATTTACATTTCAAAGCAAAAACAAGACTATTTGACTTCCCCCCTACTGGCAGATCATTTCCTTAAAACAAGCAAAATCACTTATATTTCTGATGATGAAAACTAAACAATATTTTTACTTGGGGTTTAATTTAATTTAGAATTGTATTGCATTGAATTTAATTAAATGTATTTTTATTGCAATTTATTTGGTTTTATTCCATTTTATTTTATTGCATTTTATTTAACTTTATTGCATTTTATGTATTTTATTTTATTAAATTTATTTTATTGCATGTTTTTTTGCATTTTTTTTCATTTTTTTTCATTTTATTGCATTGCATTTGGTTTAATTTAACTGTATTGCACTTTATTCCATTTTATTGCATTTTATTTTATGCTTCTGCATAAAAAATATCACTTTTAATACTTAAATGTAATTAGATTTTTTTTGCGCAGTTTACAGAATTTTTGTTTTGTTTTTTACCCAAACTCTCTACAGTTCAAAGCAAAAACAAGATTGTTTCACTTCCCCCAGTGTCAGATCTTTTCCGTAAAACAAGCAAAACCTCTTTATTTTTTCTGATGATGAAAACTAAACAATATTTTTATGATAGTTTAAATATTTTTATTTTAATAATATTTGAACCCTAAACAAGATAAAACAAAGTGAGAAAAGCATTTTTTTTTGCATTGGGATTATTCAAGATCTGTACCCAAATACTGTTACGACTCCCCAGATCTTCTAAAACTGTATTCATATTGTAATATTTATTGCAGTAAAATAAAACTTTGCAATATAAGATGTTTCCAATATGGTGCATTTATTATTAATACTTCATTATATTTCTATCTTCACGCTTTCTCGTGTGTTTAGTTTAGGTTTGAACTCTGAGAGATCAGCATCACAGAGGTTTTGCTCTCAATCCCCGATTAGCCTCATTATATTTTGCTCATGTGCTTTTCTTCCTCTGATACTCCTGCGTCCTCTAGCCTCAGCTAAACAGTATTTCTCCTCCGCGATCTACATGCTCTCACTAAATTGGATGGGTGTGAAATCGCGCCGCAGGTCTGATTTATTCATGAGCGCTAAACCAACACGTCGGGTGTCAAAGAAAACAATCAAAACATGAAGATTGGACAGCGGCTCTGCTATTGATAGCTGTGGTCCGTTGAGAGTCGTGATGTGTAGCGTAGATATTAATCTGAGACCACCGCTGCGATCTCATCTCAGAAAATACACTCCGGCCACATTATAACAAACAGAGGCTTTCGCACCCAGGAAATCAATTGATTTTGCATGGCGAGCGCTTAATAATGATTGACGGCGACGGACAGGCGTATCTGAGGGGGAGACTGCATTATTCATGAGAGGAAAAGACGGTTATCTGCGGGTGTTTGCTAATGTCAGCGCCGCTTCAGCACTGCAGAATAAAGAGCATTGCATTTGGTCTAATTTAATTTTTTATTTTATTTTCGGCTTAGTAATTTTATTTATTTGGGGTCACCACAGTGGAATGTACCGCCAACTTATCCAGCATATGTTTTATGCAGCAGATGTCCTTCCAGCTGCAACCCATCACTGGGAAACATCCATACACACTCATTCATACACATACACTACGGACAATTTTAGCTTACCCAATTCACCTGTACCACATGTCTTTGTACTGTGGGGGAAACCAGAACACATGGAGGAAATCCACGGGAAGAACATGCAAACTCCACACAGAAATTATTTTATTTTATTTTATTTTATTTTATTGCATTTGGTCCTATTTTATTTTATTTTGCTTTGTTAATTTAATTTAATTTTACTGCATTTAATTATCTTATTTCATTGTATTGCATTGCATTTGCTCCTGTTTTATTTTATTTTGTTTCATTATATTTAATTTCATTTTATTCATTTTATTTCATTGCATTGCAATTGGTCCTATTTTAATTAATTTTGCTTCATTTTGTTTCGTTTTATTTAAATATATTTTATTCATATTTATTTTATTTATTATTCTATTAGATTTTTTTATTTCAATTGATTTTTATTTTTATTTCATTTTATTGCAGTTGGTCCTATTTTTAATTTAATTAAATTTTTTATTGCATATTATTTTATTTTATTTCATTTTATTGCATAGCATTTGGTCCTATTTTATTTAGTTTTATCTTTAATTTAATTTAATTTTATTTTATTGCGTTTGGTCTTATAATATGTATGTATTTATTTATTTCATTGCATTTTATTTTATTTCATTTTTAATTTATTTTGTTGCATTGCGTTTGCTCCTTATTTTTTTTTTATTTTGTTTTATTTTATTTTAATTTCATTTCATTGTTTCATTTTATTTAATTTTATTGCATTGAAGTTGCTCCTATTTTATTTTATTGCATATTATTTTATTAAATTTTATTTTATTGCATTGGGTCCTTTTTTATTTTATTTTGGTAATTATTTTATTTTATTTCATATTATTTTATTTGATTTTGTTTTTGCATTATATTCCATTTAATTGCATTTTACTTTATTGCATTTGGTCCTATTTGATTTTATTTGTGTTTTTATATTTAGTTTAAGATACTGATTACAAATTACACAACAGAGCTACAGTATTATGTCACGGGCGGTGAGGGGAAAAAGGAGCGCGCACACAGAGACAGAAACAAGTGCTCGACCCAAGAAAACTCGAGCCGAGCACAACAGGACTAGACATGGCTAGTGTCCGGATTCTGCCACCAAAACAAGAATTTACAAGACCAGAGTGGCAGAACCCTGACATATTATGCCCCTGGCAAATTCTGACTTAAGGTTATTTTTATTCAACCAGCAGGTTGTTTTTTTTTAGCATAAATGACACCGGCTTCTCCCAAAATATAATAAGATGATGTACATATTTACATTTGAATAAAAATTGTAAGTCATAATTTGCCAGAGGTATGAATAATTGTAGGCTTGACTGTATACATGTATGTATAAACTGAATTTTCAAATGCTCTGTAATTTTATCTGTACTAATAATAATGTCAATCTGAAATGTAATAAAAATGAAACTAAATAATTAAATGTGAAATTAATGATACAATTAAATAATAATAAGACACATTTAATTATGTATATAATTAGCCATTAGCATGCAGTGTGTGTTTTTCCTCTGTGTGATGTGTTTTTTTCTCTCCAGCACACAGATCTGTGTCAGTACATGGACAAACACCCCGGCGGTCTCCAACCGGACAACGTGAGGGTCAGTGAGACTCCTTTATTTGATTTTACATTATTTGTTTACTGTGTTTTACTTTATTTAATTTTTATTTAATAAAGTAAACTACTTTTATTTAATTTAGTTTATTTGTTTATTTATTTACATCACTTTGGGACGACACTGGTTGTTTTTAAATGTGCTTGAACATAAAATCTGCAGCAGCATGGTGGCTCAGTGGTGTCGCACTGTGGCCTCACAGCAAGAAAGTCGCTGGTTTAAGTCCCAGCTGGGTCAGTTGGCGTTTCTGTGTGGAGTTTGCATGTTCTCACCGTGTTGGCGTGGGTTTCTCCGGGTGCTCTGGTTTCCCCCACAGTCCAAACACATGGGCTATAGGGGAATTGATCAACTAATTTGGCCTAGTGTATAAGTGTGCATGTGAATGAGTGTGTATGGGTGCCGCTGGAAGGGCATCTGCTGTGTAAAACTTATGCTGGAATAGTTGGTGGTTCATTCCGCAGTGGCAACCCCTGATGAATAAAGGGACTAAGCCGAAGGAATATGAATAAATGAATGAACTTGAAGTAAAAATCCAAAATCTTAGAGCTATCTTTTATCTTTCAGACTTTGATGCGAGATTTGCTCTCCTGTCAATGCCCTGATCTGCTTGTTTCAGCATTAGTGTCTTGTGTTTTTGTCCAGTAGACTGATAATTCTGCAGCCTCCAGCATGTTTCACTAATGAAAGCAGAAGTGTTTTTCCTCTTTCTTGAGTAAAGACTTTCCAGGACACTTGAATTTCTCTGTTGTTCAGTCAGAAGAGGAGCAGAAGTGCCGTCAGATCAGACTGTGACCTATTTTACTGTCGTCTGTCAAACGCACAGCGGTCAAAAACATCAGCCCAGCACTGATCATCTGACCTTTGGAAAATGTCCTCTGCTGCTGGTGCGTGTCCAGTGAGCGTCCGCATCTGTGTGTAACGCGAGACTGTGGTGTTCATGTTTAATTGAGCAGTAAAGAAGAGCACACACTCACTGCAGCTGCAGTGTTTTAGTAGAGGACTGAATGAGCAGAGACTGAGGAGAGAAGCTGAGATTGATCATTTTAGCATAACACAGATTCATCTGTAGAGTCTCTTCAATACAGGGCTATATATTTTCCTATTTGTGTCTGTGGCCAATCGAATAAAAAAATCTTAAAGGCACAATTTTTTTTTACATTTTTTTATTTATTTGATTGCGTTGCATTTACAAGGCCAGTGTATTTAAATAGCACATTCCATAAACGACGGAAATCAAAGTGCTTTACATTGTTTTTTCTTGCATTTTTTGTTTGCTTGCAATTTATTTTATTTTTATTTATTTTATTGCATATTATTTTATTTTATTGCATTTTATTTATTCATTTATTTTATTGCATTTTATTTTTGTAATTATCTTAAATGTGATGTGGCTCATATTACTGATTCATTGCTGGCTCTTATAATAATTTCCAATGTTTTTATTTTTTTGGAGGGGGGGGGGGTTGTTTGTGACAAAAGAACTGTAGTAAACATAAACAAATGGCAAATAAAATGTTGCATTACATTGTCAATTTCACACAGCCATACAGAGAACCTGATTTGTACTTTTTAACCTCAGTCTCTGACTAAGCCTGATTTAAAAATGTATGTTTCTAATAAGTACTTGAATATGAATATTTAGGATGTGAAGAGGGCAGATTGTGCCAGAACATCATGTTCAACCTTCAAGTTAAAACTTCATGAATTGCAAAACCCCATAATGATGCAGGCTAAAAGTACTTGTGTATATAAATATATAAGCATTTAAATATGCATTATGTCTTGTGTGTATGTCATCCAAGTGTACAGTCACCCACATTGTTACAGTACATGCGTCTATACACACCATAAACGTATAAACACACTGTGGTACATTTTAAACATGGATTATGGCACATTTTAAATGTTCATTATGACACATTTAAACATGCATTATTATTATTGCACATTTAAACATTCATTATGACACATTTAAACATGCATGACACTTTTAAATATGCATTATTATTATTATTATTATTATTGTACATTTAAACATTATTATTAAATATTTAAACATGCATTTATATTATTACTCATTAAAACATGCATTTTGGCACATTTAAAACATGCACTTATAGTATTACTCATTAAAACATGGATTATGATGCATTTAAACAGGAATTATGACACAATTAGACGTGCATGACACTTTTAAATATGCATTATTATTATTGTTATTGGACATTTAAACAATGACACATTTAAACATGCTTTTATATTATTACACATTAAAACATGGATTGACACATTTAAACATGCATTATGACACAATTAGACGTGCATGACACTTTTAAATATGCATTATTGTTAATAATAATAATAATAATAATAATAATGTTATTATTATTATTATTAATAATAATAATAATAATAATGTTATTATTATTATTAATAATAATAATAATAATAATAATAATGATAATATAATTGCACATTTAAACATGGAAATGACACATTTAAACATGCATTATGACACAATTAGACGTGCATGACACTTTTAAATATGCAATATTGTTAATAATAATAATAATAATAATGTTATTATTATTATTATTATTATTAATAATAATAATAATAATAATAATAATATAATTGCACATTTAAACATGGAAATGACACATTTAAACATGCATTATGACACAATTAGACATGCATGACACTTTTAAATATGCATTATTGTTAATAATAATAATAATAATAATAATAATGTTATTATTAATAATAATAATAATAATAATAATAATATAATTGCACATTTAAACATGGAAATGACACATTTAAACATGCATTATGACACAAATAGACGTGCATGACACTTTTAAATATGCATTATTGTTAATAATAATAATAATAATAATAATAATATAATTGCACATTTAAACATAAAAATGACACATATGTCATGTTTAAACATTATGACACAAACGTGCATTATGACACTTTTTTAAAATATGCATTATTATTATTATTATTATTATTGCTCGTTTTAACATGGATTTATATTATTACACATTAAAGCCTGGATTATGAAACATATAAACATGCATTATGACACTTTAATATGCATGATTAATATAGCACATTAAAACATGGATTATGGCACGTTTAAACATGCATAATACCAAAATTAAACAAGCATTGTGACACTTTTAAATATGCATTACTAATATTGCACCATTATATTTGCACGTTTAAACTGGATTATGACACAATTAAACATGCATTATGACACTTTTAAACATACATTATGCCATTTAATTATGGCACATTTAGACATGTATTATGACACTTTTAAACATGCATTATGACACTTTTAAACATGGGTTATGGCATTTAATTATGGCATATTTATTTATGGCACATTTAAGCATCGAGTTTTAATTTTTCCTATGATGTGCATTCCTATATGTTTGCATTTCAATTTGCTTTGAAATGTATATTTGAGCATGCACTTTGACATTCATTTTAAAGTTGTTGCATTTCCAACTTTGTTGCAATTTACTTTATTTGACATAAATGGGCCACAAACTTGGTTGAAATACATTAGAAATCAACCAAAAACGCAAAGTATGACAGTACAAGTAATGACTCTGTTGAACGTTGCTGTGAAAAGAGCAGTGAGCTTTAATTTATGACGTGTCGGAGTGAAAGTAAGACGTGATGGAGGGAATGAGGCCAGCGAGCAGAAGGCAGGTGCCGCTTATGGAATTCATCAGGTTTTTGTCACTGAGGATTTACATAAAGTATTTATCTCATTCTGTCCCTCATTGAAATTCAACCCAGTAGAGAGCTGATGCTAAATGACAAGCTGACAGGAAGAGAATGAGAGCGGCTCACCTGCAGCACTGTTTACTCACTGATGTGTTTCCAGAAGACTGTAATATTGTCACATCATCTTACAATACCACGTTTGCTCACTCACAGGACGCACTTTACTCTGCTCGCTTCTCACTCAGCTTGTGTTTTCAAGCGTATGAGGACATTAGTTATGTTTCTGTCTAAAGATTTATATGCAAATCTGGAATATCGCATAAAACAGTGAATAAAGCAGCGTTTACAGTCAATGAGAAACACAAGAGAACAAAGCACAAACCAAGCAGGAGGACAAAGGAATTGTCTGAAGACCTCTAAGACGGGATTGACTCCAGGCACAAGTCTGGGGAAGGTTACAGAAACATTTCTGCTGCTCTGAAAGTTGCAATGAGCACAGCGGCCTCCATCATCTGTAAGGTGGAGATGTTTAAGCACCAGGACTCTTCCTAAAGCTGGCCGGACATCTAAGCTGAGGGATTGGGGGAGACGGGATTTAGTCAGGGAGGTGATCAATAACCCGATGGTCACTCTGTCTGAGCTCCAGCGTTCTTCTGTGGAGAGAGGAGAACCTTACAGAAGGACAACCATCTGTGCAGGAATCCACCAATCAGGCCTGTATGGTAGAGCGGCCACAATGGCCACACTGTCAAGACCTGCTTCAGAGTGCTCTTGACCTCAGACTGGGGCGACGCTTCATCTTCCAGCAGGACAATGACCCAAAGCACACCACTAAAATATCAATGGAATGGCACAACAACAACTCAATGAATGTCCTCGAGTGGCCCAGCCAGAGCCCAGATCTAAATCCTATTGAACATCTATGGAGAGATCTGAAAATGGCTGTACACCGTCGCTTCCCATCCAACCTGATAGAGCTTGAGAGGTGCTGCAAAGAGAAACGGCCACAAATTCCCAAAGACAGTACTGTATCTAATGTCATGCACATTTAAATGTTCTTCATCTGTCTTCTTAACACAAGAGCATGTCCTTATCCTAATATCTTAATGTTTTCTGAGACTCCTCCGGCATTAACTCATGAAATCCACAATGCATGCTAAGTGGCGATTAGCTCCCATGGTCGCGCGCAAACAGAGCTCACAATGGCCGCAGTTTTAATTTCACCCATTATA